AATCTTATCTAGGTCAACAGGTGCTGTGGCATAATTATTAGAAGGAATTTACGATTCTAGTTCAAACAGAGGGAGAAGAAAACATATCCTTTACCGTACATCAAAGCAAACTTTATTTCCTCGTTTGGTGTCACAATCCAGTAGTATTTGTAGTGCCAGATGAAGAAGAAGTGTCTGAACTTCAAACTTTGGACTGATCAACAGCTGAGCTGAGATGTCAATATATAGGTCAAAGGTCATGTAGGCGCATCAAACCATAAAATATTGTTAACCTTACATAACATTGAACCGAGCATATTTTGCAAAAAAAATTGCTTTACTAAAATTGAATAATTTTTGTTTACTCTAGTTTGTATTAGAATTTACATCGAATCTTGACATTTAAGTGGTGAATTTGCTTCAAAGCATAAAGGTGGCGTTTGGATGCTCCCGTGGTTCCAGATGCCCAAACTTGGCACACGATCGTCATTTGCATGGCCAAAAATATCTGGTTTTAAGTTACATGTTGACTGTTTACCGTCTTCGGAACGTTCCAGATCAAATCTCCAAAGAGCCACCGTGTTCCTCGTGCTTCAGGTTTTGAGAGAAATCAGGGAGTTGTTATGTTTTGCTCGTGCCAACTGTACTTGAGTTGGAGCGTTCCAAGTTGCGTTACAGAAGTTCAAATCTGATGTAGTTTGATCGTCACTGTCGTTGTGCAAGGCAGAAAGAAATCATGGCGTCTGGTTCGGACTCCCCGCTTTTCAAGTTCGTCCCCAGTCAAAAGGGTAAGTGTTAGTCCGCCATGCTGTGATCTGATTGTGTATTCAATACCACATGAATGTGTGACACATATCATTCATTCATTGTTGATCATGAAGAGTGGGGAGGGGATTGTATTCTATTCAAAGCACGTACACGTGTTTACATACTATTGTTCTCATTATACTAGCATTGAGGTAGAAAAACCTCCATGATACTAGTAACGTTAGTAGTTGTTTAACTTATTGTATGGCTTCCGATTTATTGTGTGCTAGACATGGCTTGAAGGAATTAGGCGTCACCACATTTTGATGTTTGATAGCAAACCGAAAGACAAAATTGAAATTAATTATAATTACATGTTAAATTGAATAACAAAATTGAAATAAGACCTCGTGATTTGTAACCAAGAGCTCCTTGCATCTTCATATATATGATATATGTACTATATAATATAACAGCAGTAACTTAATGTTACATTTAGAAATTGACCCGTTGTGTTTTGCCCAGACTGTGAGCACTTCCTAGAGGCAGTCTATGCTGGAAATGAACGTGTCATTAAGAATACACTTGTCGGTGGTATTGACGTCAATGCTGTGTCAATGAAGGTAAGAGTTTGGTTTTTTTTACCATTTTTGTGTTCAATGACTATTTTGATATGTATTATTCTTTGAAGAAGAACAAAAAATGAAAGTAAAAGTGAGTGAGAGTGGGCGTGAAACTTTTGTTCTTCTGGAATCCAGGATGGCACCACTCCCTTGATGATTGCAGCGTGTAAAGGTCGGCCTGAGATCATCTCCCTCTTACTGCGTGGTGGGGCAGATGTACACCAGTGCAACAAGGTTTGTTTGTTGGATATTTAAACATTGTTGTACCTTCTGCATCTACTAGCAGTAGCACTACCATACAGACAATGTTATGCTTATAACTTCTGTTAAAACTACAAATCAGATGCTGATCTTCTATAGTTCTAAATTGCTCATCTTTATGCTTATAAGTATTCTGATATTTTTGTTGTTGGGAGTCACTTTTATTTGTATTTGTAATGACATAAATTCTAGATACATGTGCAACTTGTAGATTCATCTTTCCACAACCCAGTGCTAACATAATGATATGACTGAGTAGCTGTATAGTCAAAAAGTTTTATCAGAAGCATAGAAATAGATATGCTCTGACAGCTTTGCTTTGTATTTTGTTTCTCCCAAGGATGGCTATACAGCACTAATGATGGCAGCTGGCTATGGGAACAGCACAGTGGTGTTTCAGCTCCTTGCAAACGGCGCTGACGTGAACTACTGTAACAAGACCCACGAGAACGCACTGGTAGTGGCTGTGAGCAGGGGACACTCAGTGGTGGTGTCTCAGCTGCTTGCAGCTGGCGCAGACGTGAACCACCTGAACCGGGAGGGTTCCAACATGTTGCACCTGGCGGCGACGGCCGGGCAGGACGCCGTGGTGGCGTACCTGCTGGCGGAGGGAGCCGACATCAACCATATCAACAAGGACGGCTTCACGCCGCTCATGATGGCTGCTGGGAAGGGTTCCATCGCTGTGCTCACACAGCTTCTGGCAGCAGGTATGCAAGATTGTTTTGCTGCCAGTGTTTCTTATCATTCCTAAACTAACCCTCCGAATCCTGAAATCCAGAGGCAATAGAAATATCAACACAAAAACAGGTGCTTCTTATAAGTAAACAGAGAGCATCTTTTCCATTTGCTGGTCCATATATCACAGAATGAGGTTGACACCCTGCAACAGATTACAGCTGTTGTAAATATCATAAATATCGTGTAATATAAAACTTCATTCCTCTCTACGTGTGTATCTATCAGTTTACTGTATAAAAGCTTCATTGTGTGTAGACTGTGAGGCTTGATGCTAGATGATATGATGCATGCCATCTTTTACCCTAACTCTGTTCTAGCACTCCTTTAACTTTCAGGTTTAGGTTTTTCACCTTTTGCCAATGTGTTTTTTGACAGAATTTCTCTCCTTTCAATTTTCTTTCTCCTGTCTACTTTGCAATAATAGGAAGAACTTTCAAGAATCCTTATGCCCTGGAATCAGGTAAGGGCACTTAACCTTAAGCACTCTAACTATTCTCCAGTTAACAAATAGAAAATTGGTGCTGTTGCCATGGTGCACACAAAGAGTGCTTAGGTTTAAAGCTGCCAGTTGGCATATCCTCCCAGCTTCAAGCTGGAGCATGGCTTTTGTGATTGCAACCTGTTCACAACAATCAGTTCATACTGACAGGTATGGATGAAATAATTGCTTGGCCTGTCAGAAAATGTTGAAAAGGCTTTCAATTGCAACTAATACTTGTTTTATTTCCTTCCGCTCCTACGCTTTTTTTTCTGTCTTCACTTTCGTTTGCTGAATTGGAATTTCTTATGTGGCTGCATGGCTACTGTGTGATTGTGGTCCTTTGTTGAAAAGTTGCAAATACTAATCATGTGGCTGTTTTTCAATGGATGCTCCCTGATAGCAAAGAAATGTTGACACCATTGGTCAGCTGAGTGGTGTTTACAACATTTCTCAATGGTTAAGAAGTGTCCTGCCTATTTCTTGACAGGTGTGAATGTGAACTATGCCAACAAGGAAGGCAACACTGCCCTGTTACTAGGAGTGCACCAAGGAGATGACGAGGTCGTGAGAGAATTAATCCTAGCAGGAGCCAATATCAATCACGTCAACAAGAATGGGCTCACTGCCCTCACTGTGGCAGCAATACAGGTGGGATTTAGTTTGAAAGCAGTTATATTTTTGCTGGCATGTCCATCAAGTGATACAGTAGGCTACAGGTAGACATAACTCGTCTTTCTTGTTAATTGCTACGGTTGAAAAGCTACTGGACTTGGTGAAATGTACAGTATTTCTGTTTTTTAGCAATTGTAGCACAGCTACATGTTATTATTTGTGATTGCAACATTCGTTGGACAATATTATTGAACTTTGTGAACATGTTATCTTTTTGTATTCTTAATTATATAATGGTGAAATCCCAATGCAGTTGAGGTAAGTGCCACATGTTTGTTTTTGACCTGCTGGTATGGAAAATTTGTTAGTTCATCCATGTCTTGCCCCCCTCCCCTCCCTCCCACCAGGGCCATGCTAAGGTTGTGAAGATCCTGATCAACCACGGAGCAGATGTAAACCACCAAACCCCCGACGGCCTGGACGCTCTGATGGTGGCCTGCAACAAAAACCACAGCCGTATCGTGGCCCTGCTCCTGCGGGCGGACGCAGACATCACACACAGAGACAAGTCCGGGATGACGGCGCTGATGAATGCCATGAGCCACGGACTGGACACCATCGTGCTGCACCTGCTCCTGTCTGGGTACTACAGTCCCGATCACGTGGAGGAGGCCATGATGATGATGTTAGACGAACAGTCCCAGGCCATCTTCCCCACACTCATCAAGACTTGTGGGGAAATGTTGGATCCACTTGTCAGGGTACGCCCTTGGTCTTACTGCTGGTGCCATACCTAATGTGCTGTTCCACTGTGAAATTTGGGCAATGCAATCTTCCAACGATACAAATTAGTCCGTAGACTCTGAGGTAGAAATTCTTGAACGTAGACAAACAGAAAGTAGACAAACAAAAAGCAAAGCAATCGAAATCTAACCTGATTGATGCACCTTGGTTTCCTCCCTTATTTCCTGTAGAGACTGTTGGACTATGAGACCACCCCGCCCCACAGGAAGCTGATCATCCTGCAGCGCATGTGTGTGGCCGACCCTAAGCTGTTCCTGCCGGCGCTGAACAGACAGCGCTGTGTGCCTCACCTGATCGAACTCATCAGGAACCCTGACTACAACAACAACGACGCTGTGGTGGAACAGTCCATTCGCATCATATGGGAGGTAGGTTCAGCCTTTTTCAGCTTTGCCTACCTTCTGGTTTATGCCTTAAAGTTTAAACTAATCCTGGCATAAGAGTCAAATGGGCAAATGCAATGGACAAGGTCATAATCATCAAACTCTCTGAAAGCATATTACATGTTGTTCATTGTCATTTGCTGTATGTATATTTGAAATAATATGCTTTACTGCTATAAGTAATAATGACATTCGGTCTTGCTTTCCAAGGTGTTGTCCGGTCAGCAGAAATCTGTGGCAGAAAGGGCCATCAACCAGCTGCTGGATGCCCAGGGGACAGAGGTGCTGTGGTCACTGATTGACCGCCACACCAAGACCAACATCACCCTGGCCCTGCTGTGTGTGACGTTACTCTGTCTGCTGGCCCGTGCACCCAGGGGACAGCAGTTCCTCCGGGGGGAGGACAACCAGTACTTCTTCGGACAGGAGATCCCTCGCATGTTGACATTTGTGAAAGATGCAGAGGTAAGATGAGCTAGCATCTGTGTTGTACCATACGTTAGAAAGCATGGTATCATAAAAAGTTTGAAACTGTGTTGTACCATAAGTAAACAAACTGTGCTGTATCATAAGCTAGCATCTGTGGTGCACTCTCATACTAAGATGCATATTAAGGAGTGGCAGGTAGTCATAATAGGTTAATGTAAGCCAGAAAAGGGATATTTGAGGACAACAACAATAACAACATGACATGATATACATAACATGAATGAAATAATAGGATGATATAGTGTAACAGATTGAGCTAATATTGCAGAGTTCTGGACTGCAATACAGAGGTTTGGGATTCTTCTGCTTTGTATTGTACATGTATGTAAACTTGTCAAACTAAACAGTGGTAGAGTATGAAGTTGCCTCTGTGATTAAAAGATTTTCCCCTCCCCAGGCTACAGAGGCCTTTAAGAAGTTTGTGCGGACTGTGGAACATGTGCTGGTGGTTTATCCCACCATGTTTCCATCTCTGCTGGAAGTGAGCATGCGGCTATCCTTAGACCTGCTGGAGATAGAGATCATGGGTGTGGTGGTGCAGGCCATGGTGGGCTGTCTGGAGACACAGGGGGAGACCGTCCGCACAGAGCTGCACAAACTGCCACACAACACCCTGCTGAACAGTGTGGTGGACCTACTCAACATGGCATATATACAGGTAACCTGTCCAGCTGACAAATATAATTATACGGGGACTACTTTGTATATGTGAAACAATTGGCCTATAAACAGGTAACCTGTCCAGTTGGGTATTAACCTAAAATTGGTTCTGCTATAGTGATTGCACAATTGTGTGGCCCAAGGGCTAAAGGTGAGATGGGCACTGCCCTAACCACCATATAGGCATGGGAAGGAACTGTGGGATCTTTTTGGTAAAACAACAGCTGACCAAAAATGTTACATCAGCAAAAGCACACCAACTCAGGTGCAACAATTATCCATAGCAACCTACATATACATGTAGATACTAGTATACTGTTTATGATGTGAATATCTGTGTATTCAGGCTGACGTATTGGGTCCAGATGTGTCCAAGCTGGCCCTATTGACCATGCAGCACCTTGACCGGCCAGTGGCAGAAAAGGCAGTAAAGCGGATCAAGCGAGAGTGCAAGAATTACAGTGAGACGTGGTTACCACTCACCATCAAGGCCTACCCTGACCTGGCAGACATGTACATGCAGGTGAATGATGTTGTAATACTAATAGATTGTTCCTAGCAATAAGACATGAAAGATGATTTGGAAAGTTTGTCTCCCATTGAACTTTGGGATTTCTTTATCAAATCTTTTTTCAAAACATGATTTCAAGCATGTAGTTCAATACTGAATATTTTTCTGATAGAATACAACATACAATGGGAAAAGAGAAAATAATTTTTCCAGTGAAGTCAACTTCACAAAGACAAGACAGAAGGACCAGACATGCACCAACCTTGAACCAACATTTACACTCACTTGTTTCTACAATTGTGACAGTGGTATATAGAATGTAGTGTTTTACCAAATGATGAACTTTATCCTGCAGCTTGGTATGGAGCCCAGTGCAGCCTGTCTGGCAGCAGCCATGGAGGTGGGGAATGAGGACTGGGTGCAGCGTCTGCGGGAGTTCTGTTACCACCCCATGTTAGACGTGTACCTGGACATGCTGGGCTGTAACAAACCGTGTGTCAAACTGGTGGCCCAGTTCCGTACCGAGCGCCAGGAGCAGGCACAGGCCATGGAGGCAGAGCTCCTCGCCGAGGAGAGCGAGAAAGCCACCGTGGGGAAGAAACGCAAAAAACGCCGCAAGAAACCCAAAGGAAAGGCAGACAAGGAAGACTTGGCGAAGGGGGTTAGCGAAGAAAAGGAACAACCTGTCGAACCAGCTAAGGAAGAGGTGACAGAGAAAACTGAGGAAACCTCTGTGAAAAAAATGCCAAATGTGGAAGGCGCTTACTCGCGTAAACAAAAGAGGAAACAGGAAGCAGCAAGGGCAAAGGAAGCTGCTGAAAAAGCCGAGGCAGCTGGTGAAGACAAAAACACAAAGGACAGCCAAGAAGTTTCAGCTGATGGTGAAAAGACACAAACAGCTGAGGACACATCACAGGCTGTAGAGGGACAGGATGGATCAACTGGTAATGATGCAGAGAAGGAGGAGGAGAAGAAAAAGCCGAAGCCGAACCTGCCATGGTTGAGTCGGAGTAAGCGTTGGGCCCAGCAGCTGGAGGATTTGGCCTGTATGGACCCAGCCCTGCGCAGGCAGGTGGACGCACTGCACATGTGTACTAAAGGGAAGGACTTCCTCATTGCCAAGGGGTGAGTCGAAGAAGTGTTTCTTTATTTCTTATACATATTGTGGCCCAAGCCGCCCAACAAACATTATTCTATAACATTGTAAGAGTGTGATAGCAGAAAGTACTACTGTAGTAAATTTATGCTGTTGCATAGACGATCCAGCAGGTTGAAGGTTAAAAGTAAGGCATGAGACAGAAGTCTTCAGATCTGAAAGAAATGTACATTGTAGGTCTTACTGTTGTTATACATTGCTTGTTTCTGTCAAAGTTGAATAAATATCCCCATCTTGCATGGCTTTGCAACATGCTGCTACCCGGTATAGATTGATTACCTTGTACTGCGTATCCAGGAGCGATGGTACCTATGTGTACCTGGGCATCATGAACGATGGTACGGAGGTGGCGGTGAAGAGGATCCACGAGGACAACTTCCAGTTCATGAAGAACGAGTGTGAGCTGCTGCGTCTGGCTGAGCTGGATGAGGAGTACATCATCAAGTACAAGGTCAGCTGCTTGTTGTGTCATAATTTTGTTGTGACATCAGAATAGAAAAAAAAACTGCAAGATCTTCAGTTTTGCTCAGGTTTAAAGTCAAGCTGTGTGGATTTTTCTATGACATTTTCTAAGCACATTTAAGTTTGACTTTCAATTTAGGTTCAAAGTTGATGATTAATGGGAGGGTCATTTACACAGACACTTATGCATTCTCAATAAAATGTCTAAGCATTTCTGGTACATTGTTTTTGTTTCCAGTACTTCACAGAGGATGAGACTTTTGGGTACCTTGCCATGGAGCTCTGTGAGTACACATTGGAGGATTATGTGCACCGCCTAGCAGAGCAGGGAGAACTGCAGAGACTGGCACCTAAGATCATCAGTCAGATCATGAAGGGACTGCAGACGTTACACGAGCAGCCTAGGGCCATCCTGCACAGGGATCTAAAGGTAGGGAATATGATACCTTCCAGACCCTCATACCTAGACATAGCTAGAATAAATTCACAGTTCAGTATGTTTCTGCTTTTCTTTATGATGATAGGTAGCAAAATCTCACAAAGCTGTAGATTGACAACCAAACTGTTCTTTCTTGTGTTTGTCTCTGTAGCCAGCCAATGTGCTGATTGATGTAAAAGGTCGTGTGCGGCTGGCAGACTTCGGGAACAGTCGTCTGTTGGAGGAGCGGCAGACCACGCTGTACACCAACACGGCAGGCACGCGGTGCTGGCGGGCCAAGGAGACGCTGGACTACTGCAGTCAGCAGGCCTGCCGCAAGGAGTCCGACATCCAGGTAAGAAAGGTGTAGTTATGTGGCAAGTACAGCTGCATTTCATGTGTTTAGTTGGGTACCTTTTATCATTGTCCTGTCTGTATAGCTTAAAGAACACTTCAGGTTGACCTACGTGTAGATGTGAGCCATTTTATTATTTGTTTTATCACTTAGCTAAGAATTTACCAATTGTTGAATTCTCACACTCTAACAGCTCTATCTGTACCTGACATGACTTTTAACTTCCTAAGTTGCTAAACACTACTGTATGCCTCTAACCTAATTAACCTTGTAGTGCTTTACTAACAGGTGGAGTGGTTTCCCCTGTAGAACTTGCATGCAGTCATAATGTCACAACCTGAACCATTTCCCCACTTCTGTAGATCCCTGCATTTGTGACTGCATGTTGTGGTGGTGGTGGGTTCTACATGTAACTGTGTGCAATGTGAGTAGATTGATATGGATGTGGTCCTAGTAGACAGTGGTTTCTATTATCTGAATAAGAAAGAGCAAGACTTGTCAAGAGTAATGTATTCTTTTATATTTCCTTACAATATCTTCTTATATTTTCTTACGGCAGAAGTGCAATAATTTCATATCTTCAGTTTTAAACAATCTATCCTTAAGTAGATATTTGCTTTTGGATATTTCTTATGTCATACTTCTTACATTTGTGTTAATAATTACAGATATCACTGTGTTACAATGTATGAAATATGAAAAATTTCTGGGTTCACAATTGAAAAGACTTGATGGATACAATCTTGTGGAAAAACCCTCCAGGCTGCAGGGATGGTGGCCTTCTTTGTGCTGACAGGTGGGCAGCATCCGTTTGGTGATCTGGAGCAGCCGTTTGCGGTGGAGGTGCGGATCATGCAGGGGCGGCATGACCTGGGGCCCATCAAGGACCCTGTTGTGTCACACCTGCTGGACTGGATGTTACAGGAGGACTACACCAAACGGCCAGACTGTAACCAGGTGCTGAGGTAAGACATGGGGAGTTCTTGTCTTGGTCAAGGGGGTTGTATTTTTATTTTTATGTGATACCTGAGCCACAGCATTGTTCGATACAGGTGTTCCGGCCCATGTGATAACTAGCAGTACAGCTTGGAGTTCTGTTTGGTTATCACATGGGCTTCAAAATGCTCTGTAGGATGATTCGAACGCGTTTCGCATGAGCCCCATGCGCTGCCATGTTGTATTCAATATTTATTTCTTTCTTGGTAAAATTGTTTCTACATTGCCCTAAAGATGATCTTTTTAAAACTGTAGCTTCCCTATACAAACTGCACATTACATTACAAGCATGTTAATTGCTGTGCTGTCTACTGCTGATCCCAGTGTTGACATACTGCCTTGCTGGTATTTTCAGCCATCCCTTCCTGTGGGACGTTGACAAGAGGGTGCTGTTCCTCGGACGTGTGGGCAACGAGCCGGAAGTGGAGAGTCGGGAGGCAAACTGCGCTGTACTTCGGGAAATCAACCTCCATAAGAACAAAATCTGCAAGAAAGACTGGGTACGTCATGGTTTTTCAACTTTCTCCCCTCAGAGGCAATTTTCAAACCTTTATAGCCAATGAAAGGCTAGAAGGAAAGAGGATATATTTGAACTTGTGCACTTCACCTCATAGTTTTTGGATAAATACCTGAGTGTTCAACTACAGATTCCGTTAGTCGCTGATATAAAGTAGTGGATGCTACTTGAAACGTCTGACAGTTTCCAAAACCTATCCAGTTGCCTAAGTAGCAGGATCTTGTGTATCCCATTACCTGAATGTGCAACCTTCATCAACATAACTTGTGCATGAGTTTATGTGAATGGCAGAGCTGACAGAGATGGAAAAAATGTCATTGTGTCCTCAGACTCAAGTGGTGGATCAAGATCTGCTGTCAGAGATGAGCAAGCAACGGCGCTACAACAGCTCTGTAGGAGACCTTCTCCGACTCATCCGCAACTCCCAGCAGCATTTCAAGGACTTGTAAGTAGAACATGAAGATTTACCATACATTTGTACATGTAAACATGATAAACCTTCAGCTTAGTGGCAAGGTTGATGCCCTTGCATTCCTATCTTGTGTTTGGCCTGGGAAAAAATGTTTTCTGTTTTCCGACTGACCCTAGAAAAACTAGACATAGATTTTCCAAGCTGATCGTCCTTTTCTACCTCCATGATCTGACACCTGAGTGATGAAACATTGTACAATCCAATTCCAACATTCACAAATTGAAAATGGAAGTGTCCTCATGCAAGCTTTTCTTTGTTAGACTGTATTAATTGTATAGGTTGAATCACTAGAGAACGCCAAAGTCTAAAGAAGGAAAAAAAAAAGGTATCCCACCTACCGACCCTAATTTTTTCTCCAAGGCCTTTAGAGAAGAACATTTTGCATTACATGTGTGTAAGTTGAAGTTTGTACCTTGATAGTTACATGTTGTCCTGGCTGTTTTGTGTCTCCAGGCCACGCGAGGTCCGTGAGCGAGTGAGTGATGAAGGACTTCCTCAAACCTCTTCCCCATCACTTCTTCCATACCGTGTATGACATCATCGGAAAAAGTAGCGGTACTGACGATGATTGGACTCAGCGGAGGAACCTTAAGATGTTCTTTAACTAACACCACCTTCCTTCTCTCTAAATGTACCCACTTGTCTGAGATCTACACCACTTATAATTCATTCTCTGTTAAAAGTTCCAGTACCGGTAAAACGTGATTATTATGTACCAATGTTGAGACATAGTGGGGCAATTTGCAATGGCTTGCTCTTGTATATAGCTGACAATTTATCAATTGTAACAATTTATACTATTTCATGTTATGAATTAGAAGTGCTTCCCTATGTGTGAGGGCAAAATCAATTATATAAGGTTTTTTATATAAGGGCTGTGGAATATATTGTTGATACCTGGTACATGTGTCACCAGCCAAATGTGCATACAGATTATCTCAGTCAATAGTCAAGTTACTCATGTGGTGCTCAACATGGCCCCCTTTTTCTATATTCCTTTGTTACCAGGAATATTTGTTATCATTATCATTTTACCTGAACCACTTCCTCTGTATTTGTTAAGAGAGGAATCAGGCAATTTATTGTGAAAAGAGACAAGGTGGAAAGAATCTACACCTGTATACTAGTATCTTTGTCTATTGCAGTATTACACTGTATTATTAGGGTCATTTATTTTGCATTGTTTTGTATTGAATTTGGTGTGATGGGCTTTGGAAGTAGCTTAACCAACTCTTGGTACTAAAGATGAGATTACAAAGTATATTCCATAGTTTATTGAGTACTTCATGAATTATGATGCTCATCTAAATCCCATAAAGTTTTTCAGACCCCCTCACACGTGCAACACAGTATTATCATCATTTTCTATATAACATTGTAAGTTGTCGAATTGCTTAACTATTTCTATATCAACCTTGATCATCTGTATATATATATGTAAATATATTTGTGTCTGTGCAATGAATTTCCCATTATCTTGTATTAAAGAGTTAAGATTTGCTAGTGTGTTTCTTGTTCCATGTTTTTGTCTTGAGCACTGCTGTCACAAGTGTCAACATTAGTCTTGAAAATGGTGTGAAGAAGGTATGAGAGGTTTATTTTCAATAAACGGTACTTTTTTCCAAGCTTTTTTTGTTATGCTACGAAGACCAAAATGACAGAAATATTAACGAAAAAGCTCTGTATTCAGCCATTCGTAAAACTCGTTCCATTAATGTTCTCTCAAAATGTACAGATGCAAGACAAATTCGTTCTATTTGAGTAGTCCGGGCGAGCCTCAATGTCAAGAACAAGAGCATGCATAAAGACCTGAACTAAAACCCCCACTGCCCATAAGAGCCCATCTCGTTTCCCAAATCGCGAGATGACCAAACCTGGTAACAAGGGAGGCTTCCTTAGCGAGATACGGGCGTTTTCAGACCGGGGGCTCGAAAACGTGATAGGGTATGAATTTCCGCTTTTCCTCCCATCATCTGCTTGGTTTTAATCCATATGTTAATGAGATTCGACCCCTAACGTTAACCCCCTCAAGAGCATGCCTATATTTCCGTAAGGTTTGGCCAGCTTTTACCCTTTCAGCTAGTCGCTTTAATTCATGGACGCTCTAAAAGTAGCGCGCGTGTGTTGTTTTCACCATACTGTGTGTTTAACATTGTGCGGATGGCGTTCAGCACCAAGGACAGGCACCGTCTGCAGGGAAACGTGGCGCGCGTACATGAGCCGAGGCTGATTAGATTAGCAGATTTGTTTGTTACCAATACTCGTTGCTGCTGACGCTACCTGTGTGTAATTTTGAGACAGACTAGTCCGAAATGGTGGGCAGAGAACCATTATTTTTGAGGGGATTGACTCTTGGCGGTAAAGTAGTTGTGGTCATCAGGGTAGAAATTAGACCAGCTGTTGTGCACAGCTGTGTGGAAAACCCACGTGGCACTGCCCACTCAGTCTGCGTCTGCTGGTGTCACGCGAGGAAGAGTAGGAATTATTTTCAACTTCTTTGTAAATTTTTAGCTTTTGGTTCGAAAAATATTCATCTTAACGTGCAGAACAAATCTTTGGGGATGTTTCCGCGACGGAGTTGTGCCGTTTTCTGGAGTTTTGACGAAAAAATGTGCATTTCCCGACTTGGTGAATTTTTTTAGAAGAAAATGGCGCCCGTTGAAAGGACGACAGCGTGGAGAGCAGAGTTTTCACAAGGTATACAAGAAACCATGTCGTCGAATTGATTTCCTACAAACTGGTAACAACACGTTGCGGCATATTTGTGGTAAATTTGTGTGATTTTGATAATACAACGCGCTAATTTCTAGTTTTTGGAGTAAATTTGGACTGATGCAACACCCAAGAGGAACTTTTTTACATACCATTTACTGAGTATATTGTGTGACTTCTTGGTAAATTTTTAGCTTCTGGTTCGAAAAGTATTCACCCTAACGTGCAGAACAAATCTTCGGGGATGTTTCTATGGCGGAGTTGTGCCGTTTTCTGGAGTTTTGACGAAAAAAATGTGCATTTCCCGACTTGGTGGATTTTGGGAGAAGACAAGAAAATGGCGCCCGTTGGAAGGACGACAGCGTGGTCGGGGGGAGAGCAAAATTTTCACAAGGTAAGACGTTGTGGTATATTCGTGGTAAATTTGTTTGATTTTTATAATATAACGCGCTAATTTCTAGTTTTTGGTAGTTTTTTGTGTCTTCGATGTTCTCTTCTCTCGGAACATCACAGTTACAAATGTAAGGTATTGCTACTTTTCGAGTTAAATTTTCATGAGAAAAAAAGGACGTTACTTTGTTTCTGTATACTTGGTGTTAGATTTGTCCCCCTTGTCTGTGAAACTATCTATCGGCGTATACTATTATTATTAAACACACCAGCTTCGCAGGCACGTGGAACATGGAAAACACTATCTAGAATGTGCCTATTGAAAGTATTTTGAAACATTACTCTTGGCTAGATATTTCAGAGTGGTATAAAATAACGAAACAACACCGCTTTGATGTGCTGTTTCTTGGATTTGCCAGCTTTTTCCTGATTTAGTTAACATGCAATAGTCAGGTTCTGTATCAATCCAAAAATGCTATTTTTTTGGCCTTAAGTAAGTCTGTCCGTTTTTCTTGTTGTTACAGTTTTCCATGTATCGATTTAATTAAATGTTCAAAATTTATTGTTTTGATTTTAAACCAGCCCAGTATGTTGTGACTGCTTTGGTACTGGTAGTATTTAGGGCTTTTAAAGGGTACCTAGGCTTGTTTTTTTCTAGAAGCTTTAAAAAGCTGTATGTTAACATCACCTTTAATCATAACTCGTCAACAATTGCATCTGGTCTACTAGTAGTTGTTTGGCTTTGTTCTTATATATATATCCTGATGTTGTCTGTGTATGACAGTGCTGATAACACCTTGTTCTAACAACTTATTCTTTTCATGCACATCAAATTTTGTATTTAGTTACCTGTGCCCTGAGGGTCTGCCAGCTGTGCAAGTGTTCCAGTCCTGATGAGATGACTTGTGTGATGACAGAGGCACCAGGTGACTGGATCCAGGAGTATCAGGCTAGGTGAGCAAAATCTGAATACTGCATTTTTAAATACTTACCATTTACATGATTATTTGAGAAAAGTGTGTAACTTGTTATGCTTGTAGTTAGGTGTCTGCTGACGGATAAGTAGTGAGGATTCCTGTCTGAACCTGACAAGACGGATTGGACCAGACCAGACCTGGTGATTTTGAGGACCTATTAAGAAGAGAATGAGGTGAGAGTTACCTTGGTTTAATTTTGCATTTTACAAGTTCAATTTACGGGGTATTTTACACAAGTGTGTATTTGACACAAGTGTTATTTGAGACAATTGTGTAACTAGTTTTGTCTGTATATTTAGGTGGCTGCTGATGACAGACTAGGTGATTTGAAGACCCCAGAGCAAACCTGCGTATGTGAGACAATGCTTTTACTGTACAAAGCTTGTATGTATCTATCACTTGTCAAAGACAACTTTCTTTCTACACTTTATAGAAATGACACTGTCTGTAACACATTGGCAAACACATCTAACATGAATTTTGTTTTATTTTTTAATTAAAGAGCAACACACCTAAGTTTCTTTAGCCATTCAAGTAAATGGGTAGTTAAATTGTGCTATTTTATTTTTATAGTCATTCAGTGTTGCCTGGAGGTGTTATTTATGCCTGACACTAATGATCTTTTCATATACATGTACATCAATGTCCTGACCTGTACGTGATGACGGGCAACTTTTGTGGAAGTCGGACTAGGTGAGGGCTCAGCAAACCTGTTGACTAGATTCAAGACAAAGAGTTTGTACAGGTGAGATACAGGTTAACAATACATCCTTAAAAATTTTCCATTACACGCAATCAGTGTTCCTCTTTCAAATGTACTAAATTATCCTTTCATATAGTTAGGTGTGTCCTGATGTTCCTGTCCTGACTGGAAGAAACCTGTGATGACTGGTGACTGCTATCCAAAGCAGGCGAGATGAGGGCTTGACAGGAAACCTTGAAGACACGGTGAAGAGTTTGTACAGGTGAGACAATGTTTTTCACTGATGTGACAGCACAGATGACATATCTATTTATTGATAAGCAAAGGGATAGTTCAATTGTGTATCAGTCATTCTAAGTGTTGAATGGAGATATTTTTGCAACACACTAATCGTCCTTTCATTGTTACATTTGGGTGTGTCCTGACGTTCCTGTCCTGACTGGGAGAAATCACCACTGAATCAGGGTTTTGATGGTGCGCCACGAAAGTTGAATGAGGTTCATGATTCTATCTACATTCATGTCATAAACCTGCAAGCTGTGTGAGTCAAACTTTAAAGTGCAAGGCCAAGCGCTGTTTTCAATACACTGACTTCTGTTTCTCTGTCTTCAAGATGTGAACCCGGAGACCGGAATGAGCAGGAGGAAGAACCAGCTATTGGTAGAGCTGTGGGAAAGAAGATGGGGTAGTTGGGTGTGAGTATGTTTCCTTTATTAACACGAGACAACACTCCACATGCACACACACACACACACACACAGAAGCACTTCTATCTTTCTCCTATTTCAATCTGCTCTGAGGGTGCATTTAACATTAATCATAGCCAGAAACACTGAAAAAATTGTCGCTTTGGACCTTTACTCTAAAATTCTCCCAAAAAAGTATCCTAGCCGGCCAACCGACCGCTTAAAATTCCACGTTGTTATTTGCTTCGTGGTTGTATTGTATAGTTGAACACCAAATTGCCCGAAAATTGTCGCTTTGGACCTTAAATTCCCCCACCAAAAAATTCCAGCCGCTTAAATTCTACGTCGTAATCCACTTCATATAGTTTAGTGTAGTTTAGTGCAAAATTGCCCCAAAATTGTTGCTTTGGACCTTTACACTTAATTATAATAATAAATTCTCTTGCTTAAAAACTTATCTTGGCCAGCCACGTTGTTATCCTCTTTATCGTATAGTTGAATGTTAAATTTTCGCTTTGTACAATTACACTTAAATTTCCGTGCTGCTTTAATTCCACTTCTTTCATATAGAGTGCCAAATTGGCCAAAAAATGTTGCTTTGGGTCTTGACTATCAAATTCTCCTCCCAAAAACGTATCTTAGCCAGCCGCCCCCTTAAATTCCACATTATCCTCTTTATCATATAGTTGAATGCCAAATTGCCCCAAAATTGTAGCTTTCTACCTTAATTAAATTTCCCTGCCGAAAGTGTCTTTGCCCGGCCACATTAATTTCGTGTTGATTTTCCCGCCAAAAAAAAAAATCACAGGCCCCTCACCTGTTTAATTAATTGGATTAAGTTTTCCCGCCAAAAAACTTAGTATATAGAGCGCTCTAACCTTGAACTTGTGTACCCCCTCCCACTCTTCCTACCCCCCCTCCCCACACCTACCTTCTCTCAAAGTATGTTAGTTACACTGTTCCAAGACTTTGCACTTCTCTGAACATGACCACACTGCTACGCGAACACTTGGTTGAT